CTCAGCTATCCAATATGTCCTTCAGTACTCTGGCAGCAAACACAGAAGTGCTGCTGGGAGAACTTGCAGAAAACAAATGGATTAATGTAAGGGTAAATAACAACAAAGACAAATCATTCCCCCTAGGTTGCTTTCTCACATCTGGGTTTAATGTGGTAAAATTCAGACTTACGTGTTAAGGCATAAGAAATTCCAGCCACAGGCACAGAAAGGGTATCACATCCTGTAAAGCATTACAGGCAATTCACTGCAGCCTTTCCACCATGGTAAGGAAGGCTAATGTGGCTTGTTCATGTATAAATGAAGAAGTAATACGTGTATGTAAATGTAGGACTTTTTTTCCACTGTCTGGCTGTGCTGAGGCTGTTATAGCAATACTGAAAATGTGTCAAAAAGGATGAGTAACTGGACAAGATACAGAAATAAACCAGATAAAGTATCTTAGGAACTAAATTTACTCTGTTTAAATTGTCAAGATAAGACTGAGGAATAATTTATCAATGTGCATAAACACCTCACTGAGAGATATGATGGACTTTAAAATCTAATAGAGCAAGGCCAAGTAGAGACCAGTGGAACTAAAGGCTAGTTACAAATTCAAACTAGAAATAAGAGACGATCTGTGACAGGAGCTGTGACCTGCCATAGACTGTACTAATAATGAAAAAGCTCTGCTAGGTAGCACATCTGCTGGGGATAATAAATCAACACAAGTATGCTGGCGAGCACAGCCCTTCAGAAGTGAAATACCCAGGCTTTACATCTAATGTAAAGCATGCCTTAGATGAATCAAGATTACTCTCCTGAATGTGATATATATTTACATGGTTTATTATACAAAGGATTATAAACTGCACAATCATTTAGCAAGTGGCTCTATTTTAACATTTTTGAGGTTCCTATTAAGGTTTTGTCTCTGTACAGACAAAAGCAGCAGCACATGTACAGGGAGAGCTCATTGTCAGAGCTATTGGATGGTGCTCTGTAGTGTATATGCTTCTATCTGTAGCTAGAGCCACCATATAAAAGGACCAGTGTGGACACCTAGTCTATACCCGATGCCATAGTTGCTTTGTTTTCCACTTTTAACAAATGCAATATGAACTAATCCATTGCACACATGGGCCCAGGGAACTGTGTTTACTAATGGTGAAGAATCTATCGTCAGAAATCCTGACTGAGTAAATGATGCTTTAATGCTCTTGGGATGTCAACATACCGCACAATAACTGTTATGGCAAAATATCTAAGAGCCTAAAATAGGGTTCTTTTTATTAATTTAAGTCTAAATTTAGTTCTAAGTAGTATATTGTGAATTGTCCAATTATTAAAGCTCTTAGTAGAGCCAATAGTTATCCTACAAGCTCAGTGTTTTTAGGTAGCATAATCCACATCTGATTGAAATGTCTCTTCTGGGAGGTGTTTAATGCCATCTTTACCCATCTGTGCAGAGATCTAATCAATATATGAGGCTCTCTGCACCCATTTGCTGTCACTTTCCAGTAACAACTCTTTATAGTCAGTCTATTCAAAGTCCCAACAGGATCTGAAACTGCCTTCAGCAATTCTTCCTGAACGACTAAGTTTCATACCAGCCTCAGTTAATACCTGTTTTGAAATTATCTTGCTCTCTATTTCACAAAGCAGTTGTTTTCAGTACACCATTTTAATTGTCCAACTGGCCTATATAGTTCAACAGACACAAAATTGATTAGATAAGCGCTTAGGTTCAAAAGTCTGGAGAGATGTATGTCATCTAAGGAAACACTTGCTTCTTTAAGGCCTCACAGAATCAATTGACACACAGCCAGACATACTAAAATGCAAAATTGGAGAAGGCACCAGTCCATTTTTACCTCTTCATAATGGGTATCACCGAGGAAGGAACTGTTGGCTGGGAGGTACACAGTCCTGTAATAAAAGACTTCAGCTGATCCTAGTTGAAGCCAATTCATATATGATTTTTCTAATTAATTCTAGGCATTCTTTACCAGGCATAATTTACTTGAGTGTGTCCTTTATCTGCTAACCATTTGGACAGAACATTTTTCAGCATGTACATCTTTGCCTTGGCGACTAAAAGAGCTATCTCATTTTTTACTCATGAGCCTGCCAAAGTTTACAGCTCCCAGTATAATCACAACTTGAAAATAGTCCATCTAAGGATGCTCTGCTCCATGACCCTGTGACTGCACACTTTTGCCTTCTCAAGAGCCTTCTCAAAACCCTACTGAATCACAACAATTTTATTCTGAGACAGAAAGAGAAGCCCATCAGCTGTTTGTTCAAAAATGTGGATTTGTTCTATCAGAGAAGATGTTAAGAAAAGAAGGGCTGTAACAGCAGACTATTGGAGCTGTTACTGATAAACAGGACAGAGGTAGGGAAGAAGCTTCAGTGCAGGAGGCCTGAGCTCATGTTGTACCCTTGCCATACTGTTCTATAGCTTATGGGAGAGCCTGTGTCTGGGGAAAACAAGTCCATGAACCAGCAAAACAAACAGAATTAGCTCTACTCAATACACTCTTCTAAAAAAATCACAGTCCACCAGTGAATGAGAATGCGTATCTAGCTGGCTCACAGTTCTGTGCCAGGCCTCATGCTATCCAGTTCAGATGAACTGATCACTGAGATAAAAATGTTATTTCTACACAGAAATCCACACAAACACCCTGAACAAAATATATATAACAGTTCCTCCAAAAGGTTTGTATTCTGAGTACATAATATACTAGCAGACAATAAAAAAATAACTCTTATGAGTTAGTGGGATAATATCACTGAAAAGAAACAAATTCAAACTATATGAAATTATAAAGCAGAACACACTATTTATCCTCACCAGCCACTGACTCTGCTGGCAAAGACAACCATGGAAAGGAATTCAGGATAATGGAGCCACAAGTTCACAGGGATTGCATTGTCTGTCACACACACCACCTGGTCAGTGATTTCAGACACTCAGTGGCTGCTGCCTCCAGTGTCTGGCAGGGAGGCTTCCTAACACCTTTCTCACTCCCGCTGATTGCTTTCTACTAAGAAACCCTTGAAGTGATTGTGAGAAAAGGGAGCAGCCACAGAACTGCTTTGTTCCAGGAAGTTAATTTCTGCAGTAAGGTTTTCTTCAGTCTTAGATTCTGGTTGTTCAGAAAAGTGTTCTCTGGAGATGCTGGAGGATGGAGGTTTGTGAGGTAAACTCATTACTCCTGTGGATAAGGAAAACTTCCTGAATGTAATGAACTACAATGAGCTACAATGTGAAGTAGGTGTGCACACAGATTTGGCATTTACCTGCTATTCATAAGTTTGATGTTGAAATGAAGTGAAAAAATGCACAAATATCAAATATGCTTGACAGCCAACACCACATAATGGTGGTCATATCAAATATGCACTGCTCCCTTGTAGCACCTGCTATTCCTATCCAGTCATGTTCTTTCCCCCAACTCTTTCTTGGTGCTATAAGGCAGGAAGCCTGTATCAGGGTGCTTTACATTTTGATATAGCTATCCTTCAGTACCAGACAAGAAAAAAAAAAAAAAAGACATTCTTCCTTATTTTGGAATCCTCAACAAACACATTACTACAATATATTGTGAATATCCCATTCTTTTTTCCTTCCAAGGTGACAAAGCATGAGGGAATGGATTTAAAAATATATTTATTCTGAAACACTTTTAGCAATACAAATTAAAGCTAAATCTGTCTATGACTTGCCCAATTCTGCCAGTATGCTCCTGAAAAGCAAAATAGCATTGAAAGACAGAAACCTCAGAGCCAGCAATTGCAGAATTCCTCTACACTAGGGTCGAAACCTGCACTCAATAACTCCAAGTAAAATGTCTTTGGCAAACCCAAATTAGGTACCTAGAGCTAAAGAGTGCAGTTTTCAAAACTGCCAAGAAAAATCTTTTACTTTGTCTTGACTGATGTTTATGCATTTACCGAGAACAGACAGAAACCAAACTGCAGTTCACACATGTGAATGCTGACCCAATATCTGCAAAGTCTGTGGCATGGGCAGCCTCTAGTTTGGTTAGTCTATCCCAGACAGAGGGAATTACACAAACAAGCATGGTTGTGATCCTCTTTTCATTCATTAGTGTTCTTCTGATTTCAGAATCTTTCAGATTTCAGTTTGGGATCCAAGTTTTATGTCATGACCAGAACTGGGCAACTAATTTGCTGCATATTTGGCATATTTTCATTTGTTAACCTTAAATCTAATCCTTCTATTTGAGAATGTACTGGATAGTCTAAACACACAATGAATAGTGCATTAGATAGCACAGTCAAATTCATGACAGGATATAGAGTATTAATAAAGGATCAGAAGACCAGAATGCCAGAATATTATCCATAAACCAGTGAGCAGAATTTATCAACTGAATTAGTGAATGTGTTGTTAGTATCATTTTATCAGTTCACAAATACCATTGCCATCTATTATTTATCTATTATTTGCCCAACGGCCACACATTATTTTTCTTCATTATTCAATCTGCTTTAGTTTGATCCTATATAAGCTGAAAACTGTGGAAAAAAAATATGGCCTGTATGGAAAATTGCTGTGGGATTGCAAAACCTGTAGAGCTTGCCAAAGACAATGAACTCTAAAAACTGTTTTCCTTGTTTATGTGTTCTCTCCAGACCCTCTTGTTTATGTAAGGGCTTAATATATGATCAAATTACCTTGCGTCAGCCAAGCTGTGGTAATTGTCTGTGTGTGCACTTTTGGCCTGTAGCGAATACAAGAAAATTTAACTTAGTTTAAACCCCTTCCACTGCAGGCAAACCTTACACAAATTACTTTCACTGCAAGGTGGACCTAAATTGCCTGCAGTGATATGCTAAATCCTAGGAACCTGACTGTTTGTCCAAGACCCAGGATTGTGAAAGGCACCCCTCCCCAGGCAGCCTGGAGGCGCTCCAGGACAGCTTTTCTTTTTTTTCTATGAGTATCTTGCACAGGTATGCCTTAACGGCAACAAAGGACTTACCTGCCATGCCTCAACCTTCTTAATGTCTGCACAGGATCCGTTAGTGAAGAGCCCTTTCCCAGGGGTACAGGTATATATATCCTGCAAAGCGTGGGCAATAGAATATACTGCCAAATACACGTTATAGGATATCCGCAAGTGTGTGTAGTCCATGTATGGTGTCTCCACACTGGTGATGTTCTCATCCCCTGTGCATGGAGGTCGAAAGGCAGTTGTACTGTTTCCAATGCCCAAGCCCTCTTCATGGGCCTTGTGGAAGGAAGCTGAAGCTGGAGAATTTTTGGACCCATCAGGGAGATAGCAGTTAAATGTCTCCTCCCAAAACTCCTTGGCAAAGCCATTGTTGGTGGATTTCTTGGGATGCACCTTCTGCAGGAACTCACGAAAGCCTGGGATCTGTCCTGCCTTCAGTGCAAACCCAATGGTGCTGCCAATGACGCGGAAGAACTCTGGCATGGCTATCAGGGAAGAGCTGGCCCAGGCCTCACTTGCCAGCCAGATCTTGCCAGTGATGTTTCGCCTGACGATCTCTTTGATGAGTGGTTCCAGGTCCGGGCCACTGGAGAAAACAACAATCACTCTTGCTGTGGAGTTCTGGATGACCTCCACCACCTGCTGGATCTCTTCTTCGTCCGAATACTGGGAGATGAGCTCACTAAAATCGATGCAGATGTCTCTCTCCTCCGCCTCCTCCCGAAACTTTTCAATCCCTGGCCGTCCATAGTCATCATCAGCTGCAATTGTCCCCACCCAGTTCCAGCGGAAGTACTCGATGATGTCTGCCATCGCGGTGGCCTGATGCTCGTCGTTGGGGATTGTGCGGAGGAAGGACTTAAACTGGTTCTTATTGCTCAAAAGACGACTGGATGAGGCATAGCTGACCTGCAAGAGCACAGCAGACAAGTAAAAGAGACTATGAAGTGAACTGCCTGGGAATAAAATGCCAACATTTGCCTAGATTAATTGTCAACCTGTACAACCTCAGATGGGATGAACAGAAGACTGGCACCACATGGTCATCCATGTTCTCTTGGCCTGTGGTTGCACACGATCTAAGAGACTGAGTATGTACTTGTACCTCTGGATGTCCTACAGAGACACACAGGGAGAAGCAGCTGCTCAGACCTCAGAGGATGGAGCAAGTGTGTGCCCTCCTGTAAGGCCAAGGGTCAGAGGGAGCATGACATTGACACCATCCTGGGGGAATGACGAGGAGGTGAGCCATGGGTGGCACTGACTCTCCTGTCACCTCTGTCCCCACCCTTAAACAGGCTCCATCAGGAACCATAGGCATATTTACATAGGCCATATTTACAACCCCTGCCAGCTGGAGAAAGGATGTGATGTGCATCAGTGGCCTTGACCCTGGGGAGTGTTGAGGTAATGCTAGTCATTACCTTAGCATGATTTCCCGATTGCCGGACATAATCAGCAAAGAAGCCAGTAGACATTCCTCACTCTATGAGCCACCATGTTTTGCCATCAAAATTTTGCCTTTACTAAAACTATCAAGAAATGTTTTCTTTTTCATATTCAGAACAAGTGCCATATGCTTTTAAGATATAATTTGGATGTTCCGTAAGTAGGGAAACAATAAAACCCAAAAGAGAATAGTTTAAAGATATGAAGAAGTTTTAAATCTCACTTATCTTTGCATTTTGAGATTGGTATCTGAACTCTTTAGGACTGCCTCTCACTTTGAAAAATCTTCTATAAACAGTTCATTTTGTACAAAGTGGAAATTTACATAAAACCTTATCTCTTCCTTAAAATCTGGCATTTAGTGCTTCTGCAAGAAGAAAGAAAAGAAGGAGGTTTCCTAGTGCAGTTTCAAGGGCCACAGGAACATATTGTCCTTTCACAGAGCTGTGCTCTCCCCTGGACAGGCTCCTACCCAGAACTACCCTCATCTCCTGCAACCTCGTGCCAGAAGGTACAGGCAAGGTACCCCAATCCTGCAGGTGCTGTAAGAGGTGAATTTCCTCTCCAGGGATATTTGTGTGCCAGAGCAAGGCCTGGATTCTCCAAGGGAGGTGACCCTAGACGAGGTCACAGTGGCTTCCCTGTTTAGACCTTAGCAGTGCCCATTGGTTTGGGAACTTCAGCAAATGTCCTGGCATCTCTTTTAAATGTGAAAAAGTCTATCTTTAATGAGGCCCCTTATTCTTAACCACTAGCAATTTAATAGGGTACACTGAAGTAAGATACTAAGAAATAGAACAGAAGCCGTAACATTTTCAGTTTCTATGTCAACAGGGTGAGTAATGAGCCTTAGATTAATTGTAAAATATACTTCCATCTTATACTGAAATGTAGGGTTTATTAAACATGGATTTGCTAATGGCTTGCAGTAAATGGCAGTGATAATGCATATTCTAATGTTCCCCAACAACTCCCAGTTTAAAAGCCTGCTTTCTGTTGTCAGACTCCAGCCACCTGTCTGAAATTTCATTCCACATTGCAAACTGAACCTACTGACCTCTACCCATTTCTGTAACCACTAGAAAAGGCTACTTCCTTATAGCATAAACATCATTCCCCGTTCAAAGAAAAACTCCGAGAACTGCAAACATCTATTAGGTACAGTCAAACCCACCGACCCTTCTCAGTAGCCCTCGTTAACCTGATAACATGTTGCGTAAATTAACAGTATGCCTTAAAATGCCACCACAGTGTTTATTATACGCCACCTTCCAATGCTGCTCTGGGCAATATCTAGGCAGCAGATGTTGGTCGTAGCTTAAACCATTCTTTCCTGCTCAGACACCCAATATCCATTTCTTCAGATTCCTGCAAGGGAATCAGGCTAATAAGAACATTAAGTAGACAAGATATATTACAGTGCACCAGGCAGGCAAAAATTCTTCCTTCTTCATTTGTGGTATAGATGGGAATTAGAACCCTGGCCGAAATAATGATATATCCTTTCAGGGCAGAGTAAGAGAACAGTGTGATGCAGTCTTGTCACAAGGCCTTCTGTAAGCTCTGGCACCAACACTCATTTTAGAATGGGAACAAGAAAAGTTAGGCTATACAAGGCAACACCTAAATGCATAAAGCCAAGCACTTTTCAGAAGTTGTCTTCAGTGTGGAAACCTAAAATCAACAACAGCAACATTAGGCTATAATATGCCAGCCTCTAATTTTGCTTAGGGTCTTGGCAGAGCAACAGCTTTGCCAAACAAAAGCGTGGGACTGTGGTTACCGTCCCTGGTCCCAACAGAGTCAGCAAACTGCATGAAGGATGCTATGGCACAGCAGCTGGCACAACTACACTGCCACACAGATGACCCAGGAACAAGTTGGGACATATGCACATACTCTCACAAACCATGTTTTGGAGTCCCTAGGTCAAAGAAAGGCAGGCCAGCCCAGAACAACCCTTACAGCACCTGATCAGCAGAAACAACAACTTTACAGATCACCTACTTGAATAATCAGAGATACTGACAGAAATAAGTGTGTCTGGCAATGAATGAGGTCTCCTAGGCTACAATATTGCTGTTGGCTGGATGTCATTACTGGCTGCCTGGCAATCTTTTTTTGGGGGAATTACAAATTTCTAGCAAGAAATAGTTCTCCCATAAGAAAACAATCACATATTTTGTATTGTCCTTCTCCTTGAGGGTCTATGTGAAGTGGCAAAGATCTAACTAGCCATGGAGGCTGAACTTTGCTTGAGGCCTTCTGGTGGGTGGCAGAGAGTGGAATGGAGGACCTGTCACAGCCTCTGAATATGCCTGTAGTAGTCCAAATATGTATCTGACACATCTGAGACCAAAGGCTTGTATCTTTTACTAATAAAAGTATTCATTTTGATGTGACACAGTACTTTTGGAGGTAATTAAGGCTGTTTTCTGTTATATAAACCATTGTCCCACTCTGAAAGACAGTGCTTCCCATTATTGCCTTGCCCCTTAACCCTCCTAGGATGTATTCAGTTACTGTATACAGTTAGGGCCTCTCCATTTCCAAACCTTCTTATGTTTGAAACAGAGACAGAGCACATAAGCAGCAGTGTGGTTCTCCATCCTTGTTCTGTAATGTACCCCTCTCCAAACAGCAATATCCCCAGCTGCGCCATACACCTGGCAGCACTGCAGAGCAGAGAGGCAGGCCACACCTGTAATCTAAGCAAGACAAGTGAAAGCATACCTGAGGTATGTAAAAGAGTCCCAGCAGATTGGCCACGGCGGTGGAGACCCCAGAGCCGGTTGCCCCCACAACTGCAATGGTGGAAGGGATATGTTCTGAGCAGTTGCAGAATTCGTCCAGGTTCAAGGAGTCTATCTTGTTCTGAGCCACAAAACTCAGAGTGGCCTCAAGGGCTTTAGAGACTGTATTGCAAGTGTCAAATATCCTGTATCCCAAGGTCATGTTGGGAAGGAGATTTGGGCTACTGTTTATTTCTTCTATGGCAAAGATCATAGCCTGGAGCCAGCGGAAGCCTCGGAAATTATACCTGGGAGAGTGAAACAAAAATAACACAGAGTGAGAAGGGGGGAAACAGAGGAGATGAGACCAGGGCTGAGACAAGGGGAAAATGAAAGATTCTCGACACAGAAGGCAAAAGCAGCTTATGCTATTCATCTCAGTCTCTCATCCGTCTGAATTCAGAAACTTTTGCTTTTGTCTGTTCAGTGGTTGTAAGAGAGGTGTGCATATGCAAAAAGATTTTGTTCTGCTTTTCAACACATCATTTTGGGAGCTCAGTTAAGAGGTCATGAGGATAAGACGACCTTTTCTAAGTTCCTTAAATTCTGGGAAAGTCAAAAGAGAACATGCCTGGAGGGTTGGTTCTCCTGAGGACACTGGGCCTGGATCTCATGATTCTTCAGAAAATGCTCTAACACAGAGCTTCTCCTACCAGATTTCCTTCCAGCCTGCCTCCTCTGACACATTTCTGAATGCAGATGGCAGTGTCTGCTAAGCCTGACCACGATGCTGTCAGGAACTTGGGCTCAGGGATGCCTAATGTGCCAGTGCCTGGTGGCTTTAGGCAGGCAATGTGAGATAAGCCACAGCACTGGCATGCTGTTGGTGCTCTGCTCAGGAAAATTTAGTCATCTGTAACACTGGGCCTCGTATCACCACTTCACACTGTGAGAGAGGGCACAGCCATCCTGTTTATATCAGCAAACAGAGATATGTTAAGCATAAATCCTAGTGTAACTTGTTAACTTGCTAATTAGGTACTTCATTGTTCTCATTGAAACAATAATATTCTCTTTATTATGGTGTTTTCATACATCTGCTTTAGACACAAGCTCAGAAGTTGCCACCAGAGCTGGCCTGTGAAACTGAAACACTATTTTTTGAAGCTTTCTCTGTTCTCTGAAGTGGAGAAGCTGTGTTTTCTGACATGGAATAGGAGCTGATGTTGGGTGAGTGACTAACCCAAAACAGAGAGAGGCTTCTTCATGGAAAGCAGCAGGAAGAAAGTAACTTTGTCATGTGCTATTCTCTTACAGTAAAAGCTGTAAAACTCTGAAAGCAACCAGTTGAGTGTCTATTAAGCTGCTACATTTTAGGATAACTCAGCTGGAATGGCTAACTCGTCTATGAACTGACACTTGCCTTTCCTTGTAATGCACTATAGATCAGGTTAGCAGCTGGCTTACAGTTTAGTGTTGAGTTGCAGTTGGAAACAGGAAGGTTTCAAAGCTGTTATGCTTGAGATTAATTGGAAAAACTGATGGGACCCAGAACAGGATGAGCCTGGGGAAATGGTTGACCCTAGAATAGATCCTATATAAAATGGTAGATTTTGGGTTTCAAGTAAGTGCTATTTTGAAATGCTTTTCCATACCAAGGTGAAGGTTTCTAAAAACGAGGTTCATAAAATCATGGCCTTTCAATTTCTGAGATATATGACATTTTTTAATTACTGGATTAAATGGATTGCTTCCAAAATTTATGTTTCCCATGACTGATTTCTTCAAAGATGAATGAACATACCAAAATTACTGCTTTTCTAAGAGTTTTATCTGACTTATCTGGACTCAGAAATTCTAAAGATATCACATCTAAGGTTCATCTTTAGGTCTTAAAAAACTTAATTTATCCAACTTCATTTCACCAGAAATCTTTGGATAATTTCCAAAAGATGTTCTGCTCTGATTCTGTACCTCAAACAACAGACAGCATGGTTTCAGCACAAATCTCTTGAGCAACTTCAGGTCAGAAAGGTTGAGGCCAATAAAAATCCTTAGTTATAATGTATGACCAAAGGGACAGCTAGCTTTACTAAGATCACCCTTTAGAAAATGGACACCATTTAGAGCATGGGAATGTGGGTTACATTTAGAAGTTGGTCATTTAGATTTTTTTGTTCTCTAGTTCCAAACCATTAAGGAGTGAAAGGCAATGGGAGAGCTCTGAAATAAAAGGGCAAGTCTCAGAGTGAATGAGGCAGTTGAAGTACAAAAACCAAATGTGCTGGACATACCAAGCTGCCTCACGCTGTCTCTGATGAACTCTGGGAATCATAATGGCAGCAAGAAGGGGTTTTATGGTACTTCTTTTTAAAAATCTAAATCTGTGCACAGATATTTTTAACTAAAATGAAAATAGGATTTGAAACAAGGAACAATATTCAGGCTTCTGGTGTGCAACAGAAAAAAATAAAACATTTTTATATATTTAAAGGGGAAACTCTTGAGAAGTTGGGAAGTACAACTGTAAGGATTTTCACACACTCTAGTATGTGTAAACATAAGTATAAGCGAGTTCACATTAAATTATAGAAGTGGATAAAAAAAGTTAGATTGAGTTTTCTGTCCCTTTGACAGCAATTCGTTTTAAATTATTAAAATGCTGCAATATTTCAGGTGGTATCGTCAAAAGCAGTAAGAATTGAACTGTCTTCTTCTTGATTTCAAAGAATGCTTGTTATTCCATATGGCATGTGCATCACTTAGATGCAGAGTGACTAGATTTTAGATTTAAAACGAGTGCCATTTTAAAATACTTTAAGATATGTTTCCATTACCAAGGTGAAGATTTCTAAAGATAAGCTTCATAAGATTGTGAACTTTCAATCTCTGAGGTACGTGGCTGAGATATAACAGACCCATGATACACAACTGCTTTTCTTTTCCTTTCTGACATACATGTATGTTCCTGATGAATATTTACTTATAGCATTAGGCCTGCACTTCATTTGCTTGAGGTTGGGTTGGCTTTCTTTTGGAGGGGAAAGGAAGGGAAGGAAGCCTTGTCTAGGAGCTAGATTCCAAATGTGTTTGAAATGCTTTTGATAATTTAGCTCATACCAACATGGACAGCAGGCATGCAGTTCTTTCCAGTTGCACCTCTAGTAATAGCAGCATCGGCAGATCAGCAGAAGAGGATCAGATGGGATGGAGACAAACACATCTCACTCCATCTTTTCTAATACCTCTTAGATCTTCAGACAAGGTCTCATTTGTTAACTGAGAGTATTCTATCAGTACTATAGAGCTAACACTGATATGGTCAGATGAACGCAGTGACACTAAACTCGTCTTACTGAAGCAAGATTTCAGGATTCCTTCAATCTCCATGAATGGAAATTGTGTGGATAAATACTTTTCCATTCTACTGTAAGACTCCAACAAAAGGTTGCAAATAGGTTACTTCTGGCTTGGTGTGTATGTGAATGATGGGTAAAAATGGCCTTTGAACTTGGCAGCAGGTTACACAGATCCAGCTGACCTCTTGTTGACCTGCTGTGACTAATATTACTAGTCACTGTTATATTCTTTCAACCATGCAGAAATTTGACTGGTAATTTCCACGAAGAAAACACAACATGCAAAGCATTTACTAATAGAAGCAGACGTTTCATTAGACTTCTAGAATCTTTAAATAGCTACTGGTATTGTTTTAGTGGGAAATAAGCAGACTCCAAAACTTATTTTCTGACATGTTATTTTTACAGGAGCATTGACTTAGTCTTGTACTTTAGCATTTCTGAGATGTGCAGCTATGAAAAATGGGCATTAAGATCTAAATGGAAGTTTACTGTAAATAATTCAGTGCCCAAAGGTGTAGAATTGAATTTTTATGTACACTCAGTTCTTTAAATGCTTCCGCTATCATGACCATTCTCCCACCTGTCCCTCAGACCCAGAGCAATCCACTGTTCTTTCAGTTCCCAGGCAGGAACACAAACAAGGAAAAAGATATCAGGAAAAAATCTTCCACAAATCTTAATCTTAATCTTCACATCCCCAGAGGAAAGATTATTTTTGCAGCAGTCCAGTTTGCTAGACAAGATTGCAAACAAGATTTTTTGCTAGACTAGATTGCTAGATGATATTGCAAACAACATCTCACTAATTCCCATAGGTGTCTTTCTAGTTGGTAGAAATGTGTCTGTCCAGGGATGCTCAGGATGCACATGCTACTCCTGTCACGGGCTTATGATGGGACCCTGCTCAAGCTATTCTCTAAGTTTCTCCATCTGTAAGATGAAGCCAAAGCCAATAAATGCACAGGGGAGTGTCAGAAAGGATGAAGGATTGCAGAGCCTAATGACTGCAAGAAACCCTGAAGAGAAACCTGAAATAGTGATTGTTTGTCTGGTTCTTGATAGAACAGCTCACATTATCTGGATCCAGCAGGAAAAGGGAGATGTGCTAGTTTCCATGAAGGAGAGACAGCTTCATGTGAATTCATGACCTTCATTTATCAAAACCTGCAAGGCATGAAACTGAGACCTATACAATATGAAGGAAAAGGAGAAAGCAATGTGAAACATTGCTAAACAGCTAAACAACTTCCACTTACTCTCCCATATCTGACATAGTTTTTGTTCAAGAATGGTGGCAAAGGTTGCATATGCCTCTTCACTCATACCAGTGCTCCTCTTGCTGTAGTGGTTGTACACACATACTAATTTCTCTGTCCTCTCTAGATTTCCAGTACATTAATTACATGTTATTGCTGCTACTACCACTGCTATTACTAAGATATGCGAAGGGGAGACCTTCAGTCATTTGTCAGATTCCTGCAGTCAGGAGGTATAACGAGTTGCTTACCACCCTTAAAAGTTAGAACTTTGGTGAAGGGAATTAATTGTGCAAGCCAAAGCTCAGGAGGCTGAGAAGGAGGGTAGAAGAGAAAGAGGAAAAGGAAGTAACTTGCAATTGGAGGGGAAAGAGAAGATCTAAATAGCATAATAAGCATACAGTTCTGCATTTGGATTATCAAACACATCCACGAGAGAGTGCATCGGGGTAGCATTAAAACTCTGTTCTCTCAGACATGCTGACCCAGTGAGCTCAAGTGTCCTGGAGACCTGCAGTGTGAAGCCATACACTATGACACCAGGACAATGTCTCACCATGTAGTGTTTCACAGCTCAAAGGCTGTCACAGTGTGGGACCTTGTCTAGATCTCTGATCAGAATAAAGGAAATATTCACAAAAAATCACAACCTTGTTACACCATATTGGCTATGCTGTATCTCAACACGGTGAAGGTATGTGCACATTGCAAACAGTCCATTACAGTGAGAAAAATCCATGGGTATGACCAATCTGTGCCTAATGTATGACCAATATATAAAATATATTGTTATACTATCAATAACATTGCTAACAATAACACTAACAACACTACCACCACTAAAACTGCTGATCTACCTGGCATCAAGAAAGGACAGAGAAATCAGGTTATGAATAGGCCTCTGTTGGTGCTGATAGGGAACAGGGGTCAGGGATCGCTTGTGCTGCAGACTCTGTCTCCAACCGTACACATCAGATATGCATCAGCAAATGTTATAAGGAAAGTTGCTGTGACAGCACCTGAGGTACACAAAGACAGAAGGTGTATTTATATCAAATGCGGGACACTTGATTGTTTAAACAATAAACCCTGTAACTAATTCTGAAGCACAGGAAACACATTGCTCTCACTTCTCTATGACATTTGGTGTGGCAAAATCATGAGAAAGTTTACAGTTTGGACTCTATAACCCCTTGCTCAAAATGCAAAGATGCATTTTCAGTATCAGTATGAATCAGCATGAAAGGAACTATGAACAGGTCATTATTGTTCCCTTTTCCTTTCACTGCTGGGTTATGGGAACAGTTTTTCAAATAATCATGTGCAAGGTATGCACAGTAGGTTTGTATGCTGAGCTGGGGACATAAGCACAGTACCACAACAGTATGAAGATTGTGAAAATTTAAAGAGTGGAGGGAAAACTGTCCTACCCATTTTGAGAGGCCCTGTTCAGGAGTATAGGTATGGCACTGACCAGAGCTACATGCGTGGAAAAAAGTCCAAACAGCACAGATCGGGTTAAATGGTTCTCAGATGAAAGGAAAGCCACATTCTCATAAATCATTTGATACTGAACTCCAGAAGACACAGAGGACAAACCACCTGTAGAGTTTCAGTGGGACCCTTAGTTTTTTTCCTGGACTCGAGGCAAGGAGCCTGTCATGGACTGATGACTTGTTGCTGTTATCGCCTAATGGTGGAGAGAATTATGAAAGAGAGAGGAGAGAGGATGCCCACAGACTACTCTACTGACTTGGGTCTAATTTTCCTAATGGATATGTGACATATTTTGCTATTCAATAAAGAGATTAAAGGCCATCTAAAAAAGGGATGGATACAAAATGAATTAGCCTCAGCTTTGAAAAGATACAGTACCACTGAAGAAGGCTCAGAGAAGTGTGAAAAGGGCAGCCAAAGTATCAAACAGATTTTGCACTGTTGGTTTTACCAGATGTTGCCATGCTTATGCTACTTTAGTGGATTTGCCATCCTACAAAAGGTTTTGGCTCTACAAGACTGGGGAGATTTGACTTTGGGAAGAAACTGAAGCCTATAATTTTATTGTCCAGAAAGTATGAGTTTCATTTTTCTGGACTAACCAACTGCCCAGAACTGAGGAAACTGAAGTGTGATATGAAAGACTCTAGCTCATGACTTGGAGAATGTATTGAGTCTGCACACACAACCCTGCCCCAGGTTGCTACCTAATAATAGGGCCCAAAACCAAAAAAGACCACCTTTTGGTTGTGGTCCTGTCTTGTGAGATCTCTGTGCAATTCCAGACAGAGGAATCTTCTGCTTGAGATGGCAAATCATTTCAGGAAAAATATCTGCTTTCAATTTAATATGCACTAATAACAAAAACCTCACCACAGCACATAAACTGTCTCATGGATTAAATATCTTCATCATTAAAATCTGATGACCAGTCTCAAAAGGTCTGCCCAACCTAACCATTTTTTGAATTAAACCTTTCCTGGAAATAGGCATTTATTGGTGAAGATGTACAATGAAAGAGCTTTGAGCTACCTCTAGACAAATTGCTCCTGTTGTAGTTGCTACTACCTCTGCAGCTAGATTTTTGTCTTCCATTAAGTATTCTTTTGCATTATGCTACCAACTCATAACTTGTCCAGTTCCTTGAAGAAATATGGAAAATGGCATAAGTGCCTCTTCAGTCAACTCCTTCATTTTGTGCCTGCAGCTTCTTGGTGCAGAGGTAAGAGGAACATAGATTTTACCCATGGAAATTTCAGGTGGAGTATGCCTCTTGGCAGATCAAATGCCACCTATACGGAGCTCCCATTGTGTCCATAAAACAGCTGGTCTACTTTTTCAGGATATGCTTGTTGTTGGCAGTACTGCCTAGTTAACAAATCTTTTGGCAACCACACATTTGCGGTACTTCTGAGGGAACATTCTCCTGTGATGCATTCTAATAATACGTCCTTGTCAAGACTGTCACTGAGGCTGACCCAGTACTAGCTGAAATGAATGCTATATTCAGTTTGCAAATACTGGCATGTGCTGCCTGTCACATGGAGCAGGTAAAGAAGACAATGAGATGAAATATTCCATCACTTCTCAGCATTCCAGATTTAAATTGCTGCATCCAGGAAAGAAAGAATACTAATACAAGCTACCTCTTGCTCCATGAAGACATTCTACACATATTTAGTTTTTGTTTTTTGTGTACACGGACTTAAGAAGGCAAAAGAACCCCTATTTAATTACTCTCCTTTCTGTGTGTTCCCTATGAGAACATCTGGGTATGCTCTCATAACCTGGATGGATACATTCTGCTGAATATTTCAGTAGGAGACTGCACCTGGAATCTGTGAGCATTGCAGGAATGTTGTCAGTTATTCTTCATTACCATTGCAACAGAACTGAACTAGGATGAGAGGTCCAAATAATTCTAGATATATAATTTATTACATATGATTTCAAAAGAGGTCCTATGACACTGAAGTGCTTTCCCATGCAAGGTCATGACAAAATTCCCTATCAACTGTTTTTTTGGCTGTATGTATGTATTTCAATTGCAATCAGTTTCTGTCAGTTCCCAGTTGTTATGTGTATTATGTGCAGAGCTGTAAAGTGTCTCGTGTTTCATCATAAAAATGCCTACACTTCAATAAGAGAAGCTGTTTTTATGTGCATTTCTCCCTCCAGGGTTAACTGACAAAGATTTAGACAAAATCTATATGTACTGTTTACACAGAAGAAGAAGACTGAGTGAGGAAAAGCTGAGTAAAGAGTTCAAGTCTGGGATTTGTAAATGTCCTAAGGGGACAGCTATGTGTTCAGTGGGATTTTTTCAAAAGCAGTGACCTATGCCACTCTCACCTATTCACTTGTTTAGGAAACCAAACAGTTTGTAAAGTTGAGAGGCAGACTGTAAATGAAACTCCAAATCTGATTTCTGAGCTATTTTGTCATGTATGACTGTAATCAAATGAACTCAAAGGTACTACATGTGATTTTCTGTCTGTCTGCTAGGAAAACTAGTTTTTGGATACTATTCAAACGTCCACTGTGAATGGCCAGATAGATCAGCATATTCCTGGTTTGGCAATGTTGAGTAATGCAGGGATTGCCCTCTTTTACTGTCCAAATATTACTTGTGATACTCTTTTAAAATACACACTTCAGTCTTCCCCCCCCTTTTTTTCCTATTATTTACACCATATCTTTCCATTGCCTTGTAGAGCAGGTCTCTACAAGCACTGGATTACAGACTGTATGTATACAGTTTATAGCATATCACTTGCAGTTAGCTGTAGTACTCCCCCACCAAAACTTTTTTGTTTTCTCTTTTTGTGGCTTACCTTATACACTCTACTGATTCAGGTCTTGACTTTAGATCCTGGTCTTTAGCAGCCACTCCAAAATGGATGGGGAACAATCCACCAAGAATAATGTCTCCCTTCTTCTGTGCCCGTTGGTTTGGCCCATAGGCAGCAGTGTTCCACATAAATAGCAAAAGAATCAAACAGCAGCTATATAAAGTCATTGTTCCTCTTTTCACCAGGGGTTATAGGATGTGAAATTGGAAAATATGACGTACAAAAGCAGATGTTGAAATGTCCAAGCTTTTCTTTTCCTTAATACAGCACAGGGAGGATTTGGGACACATGACTGCAGGGAAGTAAGCAACAAGGTGGAAGCCACAGTGCTGGTACTTCTCCCTCTCTCTTCTCCATTGCAAAACAGCAATTCAGCAGTCCTTGTTTCTTCATGGCCAAAGCATTACATAGGGCCCATCTCTGAGAACTGCAAAGGAAAGAAATGAGAAGTGATCCCAGCTACACACCAGGGCCCTGTGATTCCAGGGTGGTTCTACTTTGACAAAGAAACCTCTCAGTATGCCACCCTCCAAGGCTGTCCCCACTCAGCAACCTGCCCAGGACACATACCAACTTTGAAAGAGGTTCAGGCACCACAGAGATCCTAGCCATGTCTCCTCAAACAAGTGTCAGGGATTCTCTCAGATGCCCTAACTCTCTATCACACCTGTGAAATGTATTACTAAACCTACCCACGATTCTACATGACTATGGCCACAGAAGACCCTGCAAAACTTGCAATCAGACCTCAATGAACAGAGCACATTGTAGGAGATGCTTGGATGGGAAAGCTGGAAATATGGAAAAATCAAATGTGTATTAGGAACTAAAACCTTCTCTTAAGCAAATAACGAGGATGAAGTTTTGGTGTATTTCCATCCTATCCTTTCCATTGATCACTCTTTACTTTCTGTTTTGAACTTATTCTTGCTAAAAATTAAACAAGGTCAGAAGAAAGACATCTAAAGCAAGAATAACTTCCAGGGAAGCATCTGAAGTCAAGATACTTCTCCATAATTAATTGGGAAGGCTTGAAAGGTTCAGTCAGCACGTCACTCCAGGTTTACCTGAAGTGGTTTGAAGCTTGTGTCCTACTAGGACAAGAAATACTGCAGCTTTTCTGTGCTCAATACATTTTCCCTTCAGCACATCTACAGGCCTGCCAAAAGAAGAGCTAACTTAATTATAGCATACAAAAATGCCAGTGGCTCTAAGGGAGGAGGGGACAAGAAAATTCATCATAAATGGCTCTTCTGCCTATTGGGTACAGGTGCAAAAACTAGCAGTAAAACTCTGAAGTTGGCCAATTTTCAGTCTACCCTGCTAATCCTGAAGATGGTTTAAATTTCTGAAGCAAATCATCAACACTTTTCAAGTGCTGAGAATATTTTTATGAGGATGGTTTATAATGCAGTAGATATACCTAGAGGATTTGACCTCTACCCAGGTCAAAAGAGGAGCTATTGCAGGGAAACACTATTATCACAGAGGTTCTTCTACTACTCAGCCCTAATGATTGTGCATGCTTTATAACCACCAAGCACATGCAAATATTTCACACATTTTGGTTAAAATGAAGGTCCAGAAGCAGCAGTCAACAAAAGCAGAGAGACAGAGCTCACATCATTCTCATGCCTCTGCAGTCAGCACACTTGGAGGGCTGGGTATATGCTGCTCTTATCTGTTCTAAACTATGCTTTGGTCCTGGCTTAAACAAAGACATTTTTATTGGCAAGGAGAATCAAACCTTTGGCTAGAGATCAAAATACAGCTAGGCAAAAGATTTTCTACCAGGAAATGTGGAGTCACATTGAAAGATCTTGTAGGAACATACTGGGTTTTGTATGAAAAAAGACATATTTCATGTTCACAGCATCAAAGGGACTCAGTCCAAAGTCTGAAACTCCCATTTTTGGCAAACCCGACAGCTAGATCTCTATTGCTGAGTGGGCATTTCATCTCCATCCCCCAAATCTGAAACATGTGCATGAAATGTCCAGCTGCTGCTGACACTGTCAGCTAGAAAACACTTTGGGACATTATTCTGGCAAGCAATTGGAGTTATGTCACACTGCTCTATTCAGGGTGCAATATATCTTCCCACCTGGCTGAGGCTAAGTCTGCCAGCTCCTATGGGACATGTTACTGAAAGGCAAGCAATCACTGCAGTCAGCTGCAGACTCGTTTCATTCTGCTCTGGTTCACAAAGGCCTCCTGCTGTCTGATGCCCCATGGAAGTATTTACAATCATCTACAGAATGGATATCTGGTCTCATGGCAGGAGAAAAGGTATTTCGTCTCCCTGCTACAGAACAGAGCTATATGCAATGATCTTGGCACATTGCCAGCCTTTCTGTGCATACAGTCAAGCACCTAACAAATGTTCAGCAAGCTCAGTGCTTAAGGAGCACATCAAATACATTGCAGATTGGGAGGGAGGTCAAGTGTACCATGCACACTCTCTACTGCCCACCGCCACTCCCTGCCCAATTGAAAGAACCGCTTAGGAAAGTTCACACCTGCATGGAGAACTGTGGCCAGAACATCCTTATCACTACTCTGCTTGTCCTTTTTCCCAAGCACCCCTCAAATCAGGCAGCAGGGAGGCACAAATTCAAATGAACTGGAAAACTGGGACCTCTTCTGAACACTTCAGTAAGAAATTCTGTAATTCTGTTCCAAAAGAAATAGCAGCCAAAAGGTATGCAAAATGGTCTTCTGGGGAGCACAGAGAGATTTAAAATTGAGAAGTAACATAACAGTATTATTGAAGTCAACTTCAATATGCTTGCAGATAGTGTTGATTCAGATACACGTCACAATGTAGAATATAGAATATATGAAATCAGCCCCCCCCCCAAAAAAAAAAAAAAAACAACACAGTGAAAAAGTTGTGTGTCCAGGAGAGATTTCATGGTTAGAAAATCTGGTACTGTTTAAATTGAAAAAGGACATGAAGGAAAGAGGAGAACAGAAAAGATGTGAAATTACAGGCAGTATATGGAACCTAAGTTAATAATCAAGAACTCCTGATGTCTGTGGACATAGGAAAGAGGGGCAAGCTGGAGCTTTGGCAAGAGGCTACTTTCCATAGGGAGCATTCTGCCAGCATCTCTTAGTGAGCACGGACTAGAGGAGCCAGCATCACTGGCACAGCAGTCATGCTATTGTTGAGCACTCTTGCTTAAATACCACCAGTTTTGAGGTGGAACAGAATATCACTCATCACCTCCAGTATGGACAAAACATGCTGTACCCAGACTAAGGGTAGGCTGCGGAATCACTCCTGTGCTGAGGGAGATGAGGAGTTACTCCATCCAGCAAGGCAGCTTCACAGGAGAACAGGGAGGAGTCCTCAGAAAGGGAAGCAGGAGGAAGAGTTATCTGAATTTTTATTTCTTTTATACTTAAAAAAAAAGGAAAAAAAAAGCTGATACAGCATACTGAGGAGAGGTTCAGCACCAGCAAGGCTGAATTTAGAGTACAGTACTTAAAAATGAGGTGTCTGAAGCAGGGAGCAATGATTTCTTCAGGTGGTTGCAAAGAGATGAGATGGTCTTACTATTTAGCCAAGGGCATCCTTCCCTCTTTACTCCCTTCTGGATGGCAAAGAGAGCTGGAGGTATGCATGCTTCTTCAGGGGGCACTGTGTGTGGGACTCGGCCAAGGTGGGAAGGGATCAATGACTTCCACATCTTCTGTGGGAAGAGGGTGAGCTTAAGACCACATCTTTCTGATTTAATAATCTGCTTTTCCCAGTTTTCTGTTTTCTCTTTAATATGGCTTTCTTTTACCTTTAGGGTTCTTTGCTTATGAAAAGGAAAGAGTTTTCACCATGAACAGACAGATAATGTAATTTAGTTTGCTGGGATGCTGTGAAGGGGTTTGAGCTGATGCTACTAAATATTTAGGAACCTCTCTTTGACACCCAACTGTACATGCCTGAAGTATTAAATGCAGGAAAAGTGAATTCACATTCTTTATCTTTCTGTGCAGCAGACAGAGTTGAAAGGTAACAGATTTGGACTGATAAAAAAAGGTTACTTTTAAAACAGTATTTACAGAACTCAGTACTCCAAGATGTCATCCAAGAGCATGACAAGGCATTAGACAATGAGAACAAAGTTACTCATTCATGGTATAAGGTGATAATTAGCATCTCACTGAATAATTTGGAACTATCTATTCACAGGATTGGGACTCAGAACTGAAATAATATCACATGTCCTGTCTGTAATAGGCTGTGGATGTATAAGTCACATCCCTGTGGCAGCAAACTGAGGCACAGATGTACAAAGATGTACTGACAAAAAAGATGCATATGTCCTGTAAGATATCCAGAAAACAAACAAACAAACAAAAAACACAAAACAAAACAAAAACAAACAAACAAACAAAAACAAAACAAAACAAAAACAAACAAAGAAAAACAACAACAGACAAACCTAAGTGTATGTCCAGCTCCTTGTAAATCTCAGTCTATGGCTGTCCATAAATAAATACCTCCTACTGCTCAGACATCAGGTATCTTCAACTCATTTAATATGACAAAAGTCTCCCAGCTGCTTTCAAGTGCCGTCTGTGCCTGAGGTTGAAAAAAAATTAAGATACTGATTTTGTGATGAGCAGCTATTTGCTCGGTGCCAGTAACAAGAGCTAATATCCTCTAGCATCATCTTTCATTGCAGCAAATTTTCCTTCAGGTCTCTTTTCTATAATTGCATTAAGATTATGGGCCTCTTCCTTATTAAAGGAGAGTGTTATGCAGCCAAATATTGAATTACCTGCTAATGCATGCCTGAAGACATAAGAATTTAGCAAAATACAGGTGGAAATTGTACCACTGATAGAACAAATTACTGTGATCCTGCAGTTTTCAGCTAACAAATTAAAAAGATTAAATTAACAAACAACTAAATTTAGAAAAAAGCTTTGTTACTATTTTATTTTCTTTGCAAATAGTTTTACATTTAAAACATTTAGTATTAGCATGTAAACATTGATTATATGTTCTCCAATGCAGAAGACTTTAAAGTATTTTTTTAACTATTTTTTTTTTCTTCTGTTTTGTCAGACCTTTTGATTTTAAACTCTTTTGGAAGTGGAAGTAAAATAGCAGCTATCTCACTTAAACTTCAGTTGAGGAACTTGAAGGGGCTCCAGGCACAGGAGGAGACAATGGGACACTGCTGTCATGGCAGAAACACTACCTGAGGGAGAAGAGGAGGTATCCTTGGGCAGGCACATGTATTTGAGAGATTTGCAGCAACTGGCACTGTTTTGCTAGTTGAATCTGGCTGTCAGGAATCATGCAGAAAATTCAGAAATGTTCAGTTTGTTCTTTGTGTGAAAAGAATATGAATGGCACTTTCATAGTACGTATTACTTCTTAGTCGAACAGGAATGAACCACAACTTTAAATGGCAG